TATTAGTGTCGTTCGATGTCGTCTCCTTGTTCACAAATTTACCAACAATGTTAGCCTCAAAAATCGTAATGAATAAATGGGACCAAATTCAACATAAAACTAATATTCCGAAAAATAAGTTTCAAGAAATGTTAAGTTTTTGCCTAAATGACAATAACTATTTCATGTTCAACAAAAAACTATATTCGCAAACGTTTGGAATGCCTATGGGTAATCCTATTTCCCCAACAATAGCTGACATAATTATGGACAACCTACTGGACAATGCCATCTCGGAGCTCAAGGAAAAATTCAATATTGACATAAAATTTGTAGCCAAATATGTGGACGACATCTTCGCTATAGTTAAACGTAATGACGCGAATATTATTCTAGGGTTTCTAAACAAGTATCACAACAAACTCCAATTTACGATGGAAATAGAGAAAAATTCAAAAATCCCTTTCCTTGACGTTTGCATTCATAGGGAAAACCAATATCTTTTACTTGACTGGTACTCTAAACCAACTTCTTCTGGACGCTTAATAAATTATTATTCATCGCAACCAACTAAATATAAGATTAACACAGCAAAAAACCTCATCCACAAAATATTGACGACAAGCCACACACGATTCCATGACGCTAACATAGAGAAAATAAACAAAATATTAATATGCAATAATTATCCTGTTAAATTAATACGAGAACTAATAAGTCAACAAATTATGAAAAACAACATTCACCCAAATACAATACCGAACACAGACACAACAAAAACCACAAAGAAATTTTACAGCGTAACGTATATTCCCAACCTAACCGACAACTTTGATCACAGCATAAATAAACCACAAAACACAGCACTTGCCTACAAATCCAATCACACTCTTTCGACAATATACACAAAAACAAAGTGCCCAGTAGATGTCCACCAACAAAGCGATGTAGTGTATGAAATTAAATGCAAAGGAAAGGAAAATGAAGAATGTGGGGAAGTGTATATTGGGACAACTAAGCGGCCTTTAGGTGTTCGGTTAGGCGAACATGAAGCTGACATCAGAAAACAAAAAAGCAGTACAGCATTAGCACAACATATAACAACAAGTGGACACACAGCTGATTTCGCAAATGCAAAAGTTATTGACAAAGAAAAAAGAGAGTCAACCCGATATACATTGGAGAGCCTCAGAATAATGCAAAGGAGTGAAAAGACCATGAACAGAAAGGAAGATACAGACAATATTGCAGCCGCATACATTTCATGTTTATGATTATACACTAACTTTTAGTATTGGCAAAGCTACCACAAAAGATGGTGTAGATTATTAGTATTTAGTGTTAATAATTCGTATGTATTAATGTTAAAATAGTGTGAGTCAAATTGTTTGTTCTCAAACTCAATCTGTAGTTTTTCTTGTCATTTGTAATTCCATATATGTATATGTTTTTATGTCTCCATTTATTATTTTTGGTTATAATGTGTTTTTGTATTTTATGGTTCGTGAAAGAATTAATTAAACGGAATTGCCCCTGAAGAAGCTAAAAATGTTTTAGCGAAACGTTGGGCCAGAAAGTGAAATAACGTAGTTTTATTTGCACCAAACACTTAGATCAGACCAGCCTGGTAAAATACAATTGAAAAAAAAAGTTAACTATCGCGCAAAATAGTAGTATAATCTGCCCTAGGGGAGTACAGAATATGAATAACAAAATATGTAGTAAAAAACTCCTATAGTAGTACTTTCGGCATCACTGGCGCTTCGAGTGTAAGAAAACGATCTACCAATGCTCGTCAAGGAGCGAAACAGAAATCATTTTGTTTTCACTCTTTTGCTTTGCAAAGATAGTGGTTTTGCTCTAACACAAAACGATTCAAATTGATAGCAAATTTTGTGTCTTTGGATGAATCATTCGTGAAATGTTTCGTTTGTTTTCGAAGTCAATATTTAATAACGTCAGGGAAATTTAGAAAAAAATTATCAAATAATAAAGCACATAATATGAGAATATGAATGAGTGAGCAGTAAGTGAATTACGAAGCCCCATATGTATTGGCATTTTCGTATCTTTGAATTTAGCGTGCTTAGCTTCCTAGCCCAACATCCAGCTGCCACTGGCATAGGATCAAACCACACCAGCTTGCTTCCATTGAAATAAAAGGCTTTTTAAAAAAGCGTTAACATTTAGAACTTTTTTCAAGATTTAAATTTTACGCGTTTGAGCGCAATGCGCTAACATTTCTTCACTTTATCTATGTTACTAACAAAAACAAATAACCCACTTGAGATATTTTCGAGTATACAAATGTGTGGTTAGTAAATATCCCAAGTTTGAATTCGAAATAGAAAAAATTGTTGATATCGCAAAAAGACAGCGACGCTGATCGTTTCGAGACTTGGTGGCTTGCTATTTCTCAAATTTACGCCTACACACTCCAACGCGCACTCGATTTGTCAGACTGCATGCTCATTTTTACGCGTCTGTTGCTGCTGTCCGACGGTGGCGCTGACACAGGCACGGCCACTTACCGACGCTGCAGCATCAACACCGTCAGCCTGCACTGAGGCACACCTACTGACACGCTTTCGTGCTGCTGCTGCCATGTGAGCTGCGGTACGCTTCTCACGCCAGCGATCGATGGGTGTGTAGCAACACTTAAAGAATGGTGCACGTCGATGTTGCTGTTCGGAGCTGGCCGAACTACTGCTGCTCTTCGCCAAAGATGCGTCCGTAAGTGAGGTTGCAGCCAATTCGGTCTGTACGCCGCTGTTCGTCAACCGCGCTTGCATTCCATAGAGTCTACCCCTAGATGTTGGCGCTTCAGGTGCTGTTATTCTGGGCAGTGTCGCAGACGCTAGGGGCGATGCCTTGCTTATGACGCTCGGCGGCTCAGCATCCTGAAGCTGGAGTGATTGCTCCGAAGAGACAGATGCTGCCGATGTACACGTCGTCGACGTCGTAGAAGGCCGAAAGTCATGTGAGCTGCTCTCGACCATGGCAGAACGATAGTTGGCGGCAAAATAGTTTGTCTCCAGATAGTGGCAGGACTGAAAAAGGTAGTCGTCGAATTGCTGCAGTAAATATTGCTGCTGCTCGACGCTGTCGATCAGTACGTCGCTGTCAAGCGGATACTGTGTGCACTGCTGTTGGTGCAGTGACGCATAACGTCGTATGCCTTTGTGCGATAGCGACGATGGCGAGATTATCACAAGAGATTGCGCTGTCGGTGAGTGTGTCTTGTTAACTCCATGCCCCATATACTGTTGCTGTTGAGCGAGCTGTTGTTGCTGCTGTTGCTCATCCAGCTGCCGCTGCCTTTGCTCCATATCAACAATTTCTATTTCCTCAATATCACTAAAACTATTTAATTGTTTCAACAAATAATGCACATCATTTCGTTTCATTTGATTATCGTCATGCGATGGTGCTATTACAGCAGCTGCGGCCACCACGTTAGCCGCTTCCCGTTCTGCTGCTATTTCCGCTCGCGCCGAACGCAGAGGAGCAAGCGAAGCACCGGATTTCCCTCTCAGTTTCGCTTTCGGTTTTGCTGCATGCGCAGTTGCTGCTGATGTTTTCGCTGTGGCCGCTGCTACTGTTCCTACTGCTGTTGTGGTTGCTGTTGTGAAATTAGTTTTTTTAGTTTGCGAATCAGTCGCGTCAATGCCAGGATGGACTAGCGCTAGGCGCTGCTGTAGCGCATCGCTTAATGGTGCTAAGCTGGTGCGAACTGCAAGTTGCATATTGTCGTGCGCTTGTTGCTCTTGCAGCTGGTGTTGCTGATAATAGTTGGTTGCCGGCATTGTACTGTCGATGATTCGGTTAAATTTAGCTAATACCGTTGATGATGAACTCAACACTGACGGTGGTGATGATAACGATGTCACTGCTACTCGTGCTGCTGCAGCTCCTACTTCTCCTTTAACTGGCGTTGCAATTGTAGACGAGTGTCCCACTGCATCGACTTTGCTATATTCTCTTCTAAATGGTTGTTGTTTTGGCTCATGTGGTTGTAGTTGTTGTTGAGGCACTGTTGTGACGGTTTCTACGTTAACACCATCCCATTTGAACTCTATTCTTGATGTTCCCGTCTCCATCGAATCCGATTTATTATCATCACTATCAACATTCAATGTTTCCGTTACATTTAAATTTAAATGTAATTGATTTTTCATTAACAATCTTCTACTATTACTTAATAACGTGTTCGTAGTTATATTAGATAAATTAGTCGCATTTTTCGCACAAGTAGTGGTTGTTGTTGTTGCTGCTGCCACTGCAGTCATGTCAGCCGTTTGTTTTTTTTTTGCTATTGCCGCGGAGGCTGCTGCTGCCCCCGATTTTGTTGTTGTGCTGGTTTTGGAATTAGCTAAATTTCCATTAAAAATTAATTTCCTCGACGAAATGATGTCATTATTGTCGCTCCCCCGCGATTACCGACTGTCGCGAGTGGAGCGAGGCCTTCCCTAACTGGATGTCGAAGCGATTGGCGATACTGGCGACAGCGGACTGCGCGCTGTCTCACGAGGACATCCGGACAGTGTTATAACTAGTTTGCGTGAGCCCGCCTGGTCGCGATGCTCGCATAACCAAACGCCTTGCCATGTACCAAGCGATAATTTACCATCAGTTATAGGGATTGTCAATGAGCTACCGAGAAAGCAGGCCTTCACGTGCGCCGGCTTGTAAGAGAAAAATTATTACAAGTTTAGAAATGAATACTTTTAAATTTTACACCCCAGCCAGCAAAATATCCGAAAAGGGAAAAAATTCCGTATAAAAATCTTATATTTTAAATTTCATCCCGTTTCATATTCGTCGTTTTTCGGATACATTTTGACACTAAAGTGATCATCCGAAAGATGGGTACATAGTAGTAATGAGCGATATTGTGATTTTCCGTTATCAGTGAATTCAGTGACTGCGATTATTACTCACCGTGGTTTTTAATTTTGGTTAAGAGAAGTTTAACTTTTGATGCTTCCAAAATTATAGTGAATTTTTCTTCGACCTTTATATTTCAAGAATGGTTAAAATTTTAATTATTTGAAACCAATAAGTAAAATGTAATGAGCATATGGTGATTTTTTATTCAATATTTACTACGTGTTTACTTTTAAAGTGTTCTTGTTAATTTTTAATACTAATGTCGTTCATTCTACAAAAAATTTTAGGAAAATCAAAGGAATTACCCAAACTGAAAAGAAACTCACCACTAACTCACCACCGCTAAATGGTATAGAATTCTTGGAAATCAATAGGGCTAATTAGGATGTTGTGGAAATGGTCTTGGATTTGCAGTTGGAATTGCATTTGCTGTGAATTTACAAATGCAACGAATATGAAAATCCAAGAGCATTCAATAATAATACCCAATTGTTTATTTAACCATTTTTTAATACTAACGATTTTGTATTGGTCGCCCCATTGCATTTTTCGGGGTTTTTGTGGGTTTTTTGCGGACCTATAAACTATAGTTGCGATAAAAAAGGTTAAATAAACAATTGCGTATTATTGTTGGGAATCTCCTGCAGATAAACAGAGTTTTCTGGTAGAAAAATATTAATTTTTAACTATTCTATACCATTTCTACGAAAAGTTGTTCATCCCCCATATAAAATACATGGAAAAAAGGGTATACTTTTATTCGGTATAGGACAATCCTAAGGGGTGAGAGCATAAAAATTCCGACTTTACTTTTTCACATGCGTTTTGGACCACCCTAATGCACATACATAAGGCAAACAAATCACCAATCTCTACTTCCGCTGACTAACAATAGCTCTTACTATAACAGTTCAACCTAATATTACCGGCGTAAATTTTTCTACACACGCGCGCAAGTTTTTTACATTTGATAAACTGTAATCAATTTGTGTGTGAGATTTCTCCGAGTTGCATTTCTGTCAAATTTACAGAAGTTTCTTGAATAAAATTGGAATCCATAGTCGCGCCAAAATGTCAAATGAGCATAAACGTCCAATCGAAATATTACGCAACACAAATCTTGGAATTTGATTTAGCTTTTTACACCTGCGCATACTGAGCCAAGCGTGCTCAAAACTAAATTAAGAAATCCAAAAAACGCAGGTTTATTCCCATTAAATTCTACATTTGGGGGTAAGTTTTCAGCTTCCTATCGTCTTTCCGCTGGGAGATATGCGTGTCCAAACTTGACAAATTTGAACAATATGTAAACTTGTTACTGTAAGAAAGCGGTATTATATTTCGTCACTTTGTCACTTCGATTATTTAAAATGAAGTTTATTTTTTTGGTGTATTTTTTTTTTGGAATTATGTGTTTTAAAAAAATTGTGTTAAAAAAAACTAACCTAACCTCTATTTTTTGCAAGTGTAATTTTCAAAATAATTTTTTTTAATGCTCAAAGCGCTTTTAAATTTGACAGTACTACAATATGTATGTTAAGAATCCGAGTTCAAGACCAGAAGCACTTTGCGCATTTTTAAATAAATTGGTTTTAAAAATTTCACTCTGACTTTAATTAAACACAAAAACATATACTTCTGGTTAAGTTTGATTCAGTTTCATTCCGAATTTAAACCGTTTATTATTAAGGTTGTTCAAGGAATAAAGAGCGGAATTAGTTCTAACAAGGACTTTAAAATTTTTAGTGAGAAGCGGATTTAGTTCGAACAAGGACTTTAAAAACTTTAGAGAGATCTATAGTAGGAAAACGAGTGGCGCTGACAATTTAGAAGACGTTTTTAATAGATTGTTAGATTCATCAGATCCTCTGATTACTTGCTCGCGCTTGTTGTTAATGGTCACAAACCGGAGATCTTTCTTTGCTGGAGCAATGGAGTTACATAGTAGAACTTGAAGCGAATAATATTAGTTTAACGGGGCTTGGATGGGATTTAGATTCCGAATGTGAGGAATAAGTGCCCCAGTTTTCATTATATGGTGCTTATCATAACTATAAGATACCCACATATTGACAAGTTTTGACTATTTTTTTACTATTATTTAATTTTAATATATTTTTTTTTAATATAGTTTATTCCTTAACAAAAACCGAATCTAAGTTTAAAATTTCGAAAAATATCGATGTTTTTAATTAGATATTAAAAAAAGAGTACGTATTTTTGTAGCCCAATAAAGTGGCAGTTTGAAGTAGCTAGGACATACCGTTGATTTTTGGCAATTTTTTTGGTGAAGGTGTCACTCATTTTCTCCATATAAAAAATCGTCGAACATACTTTGAAAAACGTAAGTCCTAGCTATTTCAAACTTGCACTTTATTATACTACAATTAAATAGGTTACAAAACTGCATACTTAAAATTCTTTTTTCATAGTGCTTATCATAACTATACGACACCCACATATTAAAAAGTTTTGACTTTTTATTTTATTTTAATTATTTTTTTTATAAAAATATAGCAGATTTTTTAATAATTTAATGAGTTTTATTTAATACATTACTTGCTTTTCGATATTTTGTATGATTAATTTGTAAATCTCTTTAAATTTAAAATATAATGGGGCATATTCATAGTCGAATCAAAGACGAAACTAAAAATAATTTCGACTTTTTTGATAAATTTTTCTTAAAAGTGTTGTCAGAGAGCTGAAATTATTTTTACTTTCAAATTTGATTTGACCATGCACACATACCATTATGTTTTACATTGAAACGTAAAGTTTTTTATCTATTTCCTTAGTTTTACTATCTACTTATTTCTATATATATGACTTCCCCTGTTTCATGTTCTTTCTTAGTGATTACAACAAATACAAACATTGTTACTGTTATTACATTTTACCGCGTTTAACTTAGTTCTAAGTATTTCGAATTCATTGATAAAGCTATCCTCGAAACTAAAGGACTTGTTCTTCCTGATTATTTTGTGACCTAAACTTACCTATTTTTAATAAAATTAGCTGGGGAAAGTCTAATTAAAAAAATGTGGTACTAATGGGTTAAGATATGGTCATGAATGCGTTAAGTCAAAGTCTTAAATGGGTTAAATTATGCATAATAATAAAATCAAATTAACTTAACATAAGACATTATAAAAAACTGGGTCACCAATGCATGACCAATGGTCAAGGCGTCAAAAATTTACTCTTAAAAGTTGCTCAAGCGAGTCTAATGGAAAGGAAATGATTTCAGAATTTTGAGCACCCGCTTATATGGGGCGGCCCCAGTGTGAGCCGTTCAATTTCGGTTGGTCCCATACAAGTTGTATGTGCATGAGAAATTGTTGACAGTAAATTGCCGGCGTGTGTGAATATAAGTTGGCCTGTAAGTGATTTTTAATTCACAGTGAAAAAATCACCGATAGTGAAATATCGCTCATCACTAGTACATAGAGAAAAGTACCGAAAATGGTTGAAAAACTAAGGTAATTTCTTTCTACTGTCTTTGAGAAAATCTTCAGATTAAATATTTCGTTGAATACGCCTTCATTCTGAACTTCACAGATGCTTTTTCATAGTTAGGAACAAAAAAAAATAATAATAATAGATTCCGCACGAGTTTTAATAATAATAAATTACGTAGTTCGCTCTCTCATTCGTAATTCGCACTCCAATTACCCTTCGAATTACGTAATTCGCCATATAAAGTTTTGAAAGCGAATTACCTCATTTGTTCGTAACTCAGATCCAATTACCATGCGAATTACGAACAAATCGCTGCCGCCTCTAATTTTAGTCGCATATTTATCGAAACCAGCAGCCGGATTCCCACATTTGCTATCGCTAATTTTGTTCGCCGAAAATTTCCAGAAGAAAGGAAGGTGCCCCTAACAACACGCAATATATAGTTGCATGCCCGCCGCACTGCTAGATTTGGCTGGTTACGCATTGCATGTGTTACTTTTCCATGTTGTATACTTCTAGGCCCTACCGCTCTTAATTTAGAGAATTTTAGCAACTGTCAGAATTCCACTGTAGTTCACAAATGAAAACTGGCACTTTTTCTGAGTTTTAAATAAAGTTCATACATTTGTACATCACCAATTTAATACAGAAATTTATAAATTTTTAGCAATAACTTATATTTTGCATCAATTTTGCACCGAAGAAAAACAAAACATAGACACGAGAACTGTCAATTCGAATTAAGAATGTGCCCGTGTGAATGGAGTTAAGGCCCGTCCACATAAAACTTTGGCGTTGCGTTGGCGTTGGCGTCGCTTCAACAGCTGACTATGAATACATGAAATCAAATGCAGCCGTCCACATAGCCAAAATTCGGCAATGCTCACGCCAAAACAAAGCAAAAAGATGGCCAACTCTCATCTTTTCGCGTGCGTTGCTCGTCAGCTGTTGCAAATAAATAAAATTGTGTGAAATATTTTCCCTTTTTAATCAAGTGCGGGCAAGAAATATCGTTTTTAATTCAATTATTGATATGAAATATTAATTTATCTGTCGTTAGTATGTTAATTTAGTGGCCCAAGCATTCGCTGCCATGCGTTCATTGTAGCAAGCATTCTTTTAACGTGCGTTCTGTCAAACCAACGCCAACGCCAAAGCCAACGCGAAAGTTCTATGTGGACCGGCCTTTATTCGCGAACGTAATTGGAGCTGCGAACAAAGTAATTCACGGTGTCGTGGGAAAGCCGTATAAGTCTGCTGGCAATTGAGTATGGGACCTTTTGGAAGTAATTAAGCCATAATACGTTTATATATGTTTAAATGTCCAGTTTGAATAAATATTTTAAAATTATATTTACAAATAACATAATGATTTTCAGACGTTTTCCGGAAAATTGTACCAAAACCCCGCTGTCGGCAAAACTTACATACGTTTTTTGCTGGCTGGGAAAATACATATACATTTGAACATAGGCACATACATATTAAAATCTAATATACTCACCATATCATCGGGTCCTTCGCACGAGTGCCTATATGGTAGGCCTTCGGGAACTATTTTATTTAACATCATTTCCATATCGTCTCTATATGTGACCAATTTAAGTTATTAAATTGATATGAAATAATCTTATTAAAAATGTATGTTACCTAACATCTGGATCCCAACTCTCGTTTAACGCCAAACTCGCAGATGTATGAAGGACTGTAATGAAAGTAAATTAAATTTCTGAGTCATTTTCATACCACAAATAAAATCTACATTGATCTACGATACAGATCTCAAAAATGAGACGGAATAGAAAATTTCTTGTAGGTGGGGTGCAATAACACCATACGCAATAAGGCCATAATGCCTTTATTTCGCTTGGCGATTGGAAATAAAACCATAGTGTGTTGCTAGCTGGGGAGCGGGCAGATGTGCACCCGCCAAGTTATGCACTCGCAAAATTAAAACTTACTTACATAAGTACATATATTTTTTCCCAACATCCAATAAATGCGGAAATATCAAATAATTATTTATTTCATTTTATTAGTAATAATTTGTATAAATTTAAATAATTCAGTACCATACGTACATACATATGTATGTTTTAACTAAATCGAACAAAAAAGCTTATTCAATATGGATCAAAGAACCACTAAACTTAACTTCGGCGCGGACATAACACTGTGGGTAATAGCGTAGCCGAGATATTGGTACTGCTAGAGCTGGTACTTTGAAGCGCGGCCGAAGGTCGCCTACTCAAAAAGGAGTTGTGCGCGCATACCCGAATTTTGAAAACTTAAATCATAATTATTTTAATTATTGGTACTCAAAATAGTTTTTAAGACAGGCTGTTAGTTTTTATGAATTAAAGGTGCCGCCAAGAGTTAACATCGTGAATAAGGTTCGGAATGTATTTTCTACAGATGACTTTTGAAATAAGTATTAAAAAAGGTAATTTCCGTTCTCGGATTCGTAATACTGGAGGTTTAAAATGCGTATATTTGATACGCCTTCTGACGAAATAGTTTGATGATTACCAATGATTTTTCAAAGTGCCCGTAAACGGGAAAATTACCGTAACAATGTTAACAAACGGCGATAGTTTCTTTATTCACATTCCGAACATTCGGAATAAATTTTTTTGTTCACTTATTCATTAGAACGTTGTTCCCGGATAATATGGGGCCGGATAATCTGAACGCATTCTTTTTATTTCGTCTGTAGTACGGAACTCATAGACTACTGCAACGGTGGGCCAACGATCGGAACATTACCCGCAATTGGAGAATGAAAATTGACTTTGACTTAATGTTCTTTACCGATATGATGGAACTTTGCGAAACTTGAATTTGTCTTTACAATGTTTTTGATTTGTCGCCAATTATTTTAAGTTTTGGAGCTAAACTTCTTCCTGTTGTTGTTGTTGTAGCGGCTACAACAACCCCGCCCAGTTCGGTTGGTATCTCAGTCGTTGTCGTCAAGTTCCGTTAACGGCAGCCCTAGGAAGCGTGCAGCTTCTGTTGGGTTGGTCCACAAGGACACAGCGGTTAGGGTTGTCGGGTTTTCTGGGCATGCGAAGAGATGTTTCGAGTCATGTGGGGTCTCTCCGCATGCCGGACACTCATTTGGCACATCCTCATTCAATTTACTCAGGTAGGAGTTTAACCTGCCGCAGTAGCCAGAGCGAAGTTGGGCTATTGTCGTTCGTATCTCCCGAGGCCGAGGAAGCTCCGCTTCGTCTATGTCCGGGGGCGGTATGCCTAGAACTAGGTCTAGGTCACAGGTCTAGAGCCTACATAACTCGAGACTGACTCCCTGTGAATGCCGTTCAGGGCCAGTCGGTAAGCTGACGGGTCCAGAGGTTTCTTGATGCACCTCTGGACTTCGTCCGTCAGTTCATATAGATGCCTCCTGACGTGCCTAGGCGAGGGCTCCTCTGCAAGCAGCTGTCTTTTTGGGTGGCCACTTCTGTGGCTCCCGATCAGGAACTGCTTGCAGAGCATTATGTTGTGCTCCTTTATGGGGAGCATTTCTGCCTCGCCGTGGAGATGATGTTCGGGCGACATCAGGAGGCATCCTGTCGCTGTCCTGAGTGCGGTGTTCTGTAGTCTGTAGCTTCGTCCACTGCGTCCTACTAGTCCCCGGCGACCACACTGGCGCTGCGTAGGTTAAAACCGGCCGGCCTATTGCCTTGTATGTTGCCAGCAACGTTTCTTTGTCTTTGCCCCAAGTACTGCCGGCTAGCGGCTTAAGGACCTTGTTGCGCCTCTGTACTTTATTGACAATAGCGGTTGCGTGCGCAGAGAAGGAGAGCAGGCTGTAGAATGTTACTCCGAGTATTTTGGGGTTATTCGCCGTCAGTATTCAGCGGTAGCCTGACCTCCTTCGTCCAGGTTGTGAACAGGGTCGCAGAGGATTTCGTAGGGGAGAGGGCTAGACACTTTACACTGAAGAAGCGAGAAAGTTCGGAGAGATACCCGTTTACTTTCTAACACAGGTCATCAATTCCATTCCCAGTCGCCATGATCGAGCAATCGGCGGCGTAAGAGATAATCGAGACTCCCTCTGGTGGTTGAGGCAGCTTTGAAATGTAAAAATTAAACAGTAGCGGGGACACCACCCTGTGGAACCCCCTGTTTTATTTTTCTGAGTTTACTCGATTTGTCCCTAAACATTACCGACGAGTTTCGACCACTCAAATAATTTGCCGACCACCGTTTGAGCCTCTGCGGAAGAGAGGAGGCCTCTACATCTTTTAGTAGCGTGGAATGGCAGACGGTGTCAAACGCCTTTGACAAGTCCAACGCTACTAGAATCGTTCTCTCGCAGGGACGGTTTCGGTCACGAGTTATCTGAGTGTTTATGGCTCTAAGTGCTGTTGTTGTACTGTGCACTTTACGGAAACCATGCTGATGCTTCGCTGGGATCAAGTGGTTTGTGAAATACGGGAGTAGCAAGGCCTCGAGTGTCTTCGCTACAGTGGAAAGGAGTGTCATCGGACGATAAGAATAGTTTGAGCAGTGGGACCACTCTCCCCATCTTCCAGATGTCTGGGATGATTCGAGTGGCCATAGACAAATTGAGGACCTCCGTTAGGTACGCTACCCCCGCAGGACCCAAATTTTTCAGCATCAGCATGCATATTCCGTCGGGATGCATGGCTTTGGAGGCTTTCGCCTTCCCGATGGCCACCTGAACTTTACCGCAAGTAAAAGCAAGGGGGGCACAGGTTGTTGGCAGGTCGTGCAGACTTCTGGTCACTCGACGCTTGGCTTTGTCCACCGGAGGATGCAGTATGAACTGCCGGCTAAAATAGCTCGCGCATCGCTCCGGGTCCGACGAAGCATGGTCGCCGAAGGAAATTTCGACTCTGTCGTCGTGCTTCGTCGGATTAGACAATGACCTCACGGTTGACCAAAGCTTGCTCACACCAGAGGTGAAATTACAGGTCTTCAGATGCTCCTCCCACTTCTTCCGCTTATGTACGTTTACTAGTTGCCGAATCTCCGCGTTGAGATCCCTGATCCCCGGGATCGGCCTGACGAAGGCTATCACGCTCATCGGCTAGAACAGCCGCTTCGGCAGGGAAGTTTGGACGTGGGTCCGTTATACATCCTGGCGGTATGAAGCGAGCTGCAGCAGAAGTGACAGCCCTGCGGAACTTACGTTCACCGAGATGGACGTCGGTTGGTCTCGGAAGCGCTGTGAAAGGGTTTTCAGTAAACTCCGCGTAACCTTTCCAATCAGCTTTTGAAAAGTTGATATGATATGTGTGTATTATGTGGTCAGTCGTGGCTGTGATATGGTCTGTGGTGTTATTATGTTGTTGTGCTGTGGTGACTGTGTGAGGCTGCTCAGGTGGACTGGTTAGCCGTGGAGGCTGCTCTGTTTGAGCAACAGGGGGCCACGTACGACGTGGTCCACTGTCGATGTGTCCGTAGTCCTGAGCAGACTCTAAGGTGACTCCACCCCTCGCAGGCATTACACTTGACTGAGGTGGAGTTGTGGTGTAGTCGTCTATGGCATACACAGCAGGTGTAGATTTCTGGCCCTGGGTTTGACTCGATGCCAGCCCTGAGTAGAAGAATACGTAGTGATTGTAGCCCTATGGACGAACAACTGCTGAGATACTTCGCCGACCTAACCGGGGTTAGATTGCCGAAACAACAGCCCTTGGTCGGGTAAAACTAGAGTCATTCCGGTACGTAGAACCGGCTGTCGTGGGAATGCTAAACTTCTTCCTCTTTATTGGCACTGTAACCGTCTCAGCGATTTTGGCCGAGTCCAAAACAGCACGCCAGTCATTTCTCTTATGTGCTAACTGACGCCAATTGGAAATGCCAAGTGAAGCCAAGTCCTTCTCCACCTGGTCTTTCCAAGGCACAGGAAGGTTTCCCCTTCCTCTGTTACCAGCATCGCGGCCCGCATAATCGTCAGCGAAATTCGCCATCACCTACGCGTAAAGGTCCGTAAATCTTTCACAGAATCTTCCTCACGAAAACTCCAAGAGCCGCCCCATCAGATGCTTTCATTGTCCATGCCTCCGCGCCATGCACCAGCACAGGCATGTACGACGAGAGAGGACTTTACTTCTCTATTGCCTACTCAGCCCAAAGTAGCACTTGTTGGCAGGAAAGATTATCAGTTGGATTTCAAGGCTGACATTATTATTGGTGTTAATGCTGGTTCCCAAATAAACGAAGTCGTCTACTTTTTCAAACTTGTAACTATGAACAGTGACGACAGGAGATACTTCGTTTTGTCCTCGTTCACCACCAGACCCATTCGCTTTGCTTCTCTATCCAAACACGAGAAGGCAACACAGACGTAACCCTTGTTTGTATCGATAATATCGATGTCGTCGGAATACGCCAGCAACTGTACGCTCTTGTAAAGTATTATGCCTGAGCGGTTCAGTTCTGCGGCTCCTATTATCTTTTCCACCATCAGATTAAAGAAATCACACGAAAGGGAGTGCCCTTGTTTGAAACCTCGTTTGGGACGCGGTAGTTGACGCGAAAAGCGGCGTCGCCTTTCTTGGGGATTGGGCAGAGCACACTTAAATTCCAGTCGTCGGGCGTCTGACCCTATTCTACATACGAGCTGATGCATACACCTCATCACCTCCTCGCCACCGTACTTGAATAGCTCGGCTGGCAGGCCGTCAGCTCCAGCAGCTTTGTTGTTTTCAGCCGCGTAATCGCTATTCGTACCTCGTCA